TCTCCGACTGCCAGACACGACTATGGGATATATGTAGGTATACACACCCTTCCATCGTATCGTATATAGACCCTTCTTCCTCTGGCTATAGCCGGCAATAGTAGTTGACTTTTTATCCACGGATTCTCATGGCAGGCAGCAATCAAGGCACAGCAATCCACAAAGCTCCCGCCCCGTACCCGTGCCCGTGACGGCACCCGGGACCCGGGACCTTCTTCTTCCGCTCTGCCGCTTTTCCTTTCCGTTCAGACTGCTTCTAGATTTTCCCAGCCGAACAGCAGAGCAGCAGTGTTTGTCTGCCCCAACGGCAACGAGTGGCAGCAGTGGCAGCAGTTGCAACGGGTGACAACGGGTGACAACAGTTGCACCAATGATGCGATGAGGTCGGGGGCACTCAATGTGCATCGATTCATGGATCGATGAATGGGGATGGGGATGGGGATGAAGCAGCAAATCAATGGGGAAAAGCAGGAAAGCGCTGTGCAATTATTATTCTTAGTTCGGAAGTAAAGTTGAGGTAGTCCCCAGAGGATGGTACAACGACCAAGTATGCGGAGAGATGCCAAACTATTCAAGGGACTTCTTTGCTCCATTCTGCTTTATAATTAGAGGGGTTTCCATTGAATTTCTCCGCACAAGAGTTGCTTGATGCCTGGGAGACGTAGTAGATCCTCGATCTTTGCCACCGGATGGCTGATCTCTGAAATATTGACTCAGTTCCAGGAACTTTCAGGAAGAGGAATCTGCTTAATTTTTTTTGGGTATTCCCGCTAATTCGATTTTATGATTGGAGTTCCTTGGAGCTCAATTGAAATTCTTTCAACCTTCTCAAGTGCCTCAACCTCTACTTGTCTGTTCTTCTATTTCTTTTCTCCTCCACTAACTGGGTTTCATTATAGTATATCCATTACTTCCATGTCTTATCCCCTTTGTTGCCTTTGTTATCCACCTTTCTCTTTATCTTCTCTGCTGACTTTTCTTTGCCACATCCCACTGCCCACTCCCCACTCCGCACTCTCCTCCACTTGGCTGTGTGTTAATTTTCTGTAACAGTTTCTTTGCTCTTCATTTTATGCGTTTTGACGCGTCACCTCCATAGGAAGCCCCCGCTGTATCCTCGAGCACCAGCAGCACCTCCTCTTAAATTGTTGGACAGGGAATTTTTATCTTTTAATTAAAAGTGATGCGACTGCTCCTTTAATTTCTCCTGTCAGGAGTTGGAGTAGAGCATCCCCGAGACGTGGCAGGACCATCCTGCCTGTCCTCTCCGCATGTCCTCTCGCCCATATGTAGGTGAGCATTAATTAAGGATTTTACGATTGTTTCCCATGTGGAACGCGGGCCGAGCAGGTCCTGCCACAGAATCTCCGAGAAGCTGGCACTGTCCGCATTTTTGTTTTATTCGCTGACTCTCGGATACATGTATGAATGTTTATTCATATAATAAAATAAATTATATGTTTTTCAAGTGGCTCGTCGCATGGCGGCAGCTGCTTTTCACTCATTTCCCTCTGTCCAGGAAGAGAGAGCGCGGGGCGCAGGGATCATTAGGGTTCAGCCGAGAGGCTAATTGACTTTCAGCTTCTGCGGCCTTTTGTGTTTGTTGGCAGTCAAAGAATGCAAATTCGTACCTCAACAAATCGTACTGGAATTTGTGTGCGTATAGATAGATTTGTATCTTTTATAAGTAATCAAAGAATATGCATTATAGAAGTTTCAGATACTTCTTTATCGACTAATATCCTAAACTATCTGTCTTTTCAAAGTACATATTCGAGTTTATCTATCCATCTGTCTATACAACTATTTCTACACCCATCTATTGATACATTCTTTCAGTCTATTCGTATATTCTCCATTCTCTTTCTCTCTTTTCGAATTCCACGCACTAAAATTCTCTTCTCTCTCATTCTCTTTTTTGCAGGTAAGCAAGCTTCTGCTTCTGCCCCCGCACTACAAATGTTTCCCCCCCTTTTCCTGGCTGGCTTTCCCGAGTAAGTTTCCATTCAGAGAATGTATTCATTGTTCCATTCATTCATTCATTTGCTCCGCATCCATATCTCTCACTCCAAACTCATTTCCACGGACTAATCGGAGGAAAAACGGAGCACATAGTACACATATCTCTCTCTCTCTCCCTCTCTCTGTACTTCTGCTTCTGGCCAAGTTAACGCACAGCAGAGCACAGCACTAAAGACTAAAGACTAAAGAGCATGAATATCTGTATATGTGGAAAATGAAACACAAAGATACACTCACACATGGCTGCATACACATGCGGTGTGGCTGGTGTATCTGTGTGTGCATGAACAAGCAGTTATTTATAAGTTTTTCTGGCAAAAAATCAGCAACTTTTCCCGTTGATCTCCAAGTATAGAGCGTTGGCGCGTTGCCAAAAGCGAATTGCGCATACGCCGTGTGGTCTATTCGTTGGATGTCTCTCTGTGTCTGTGTCTTTACGAGTATGTGTGCCACTGTATGCCCCTCCATGCTAATTCAGCGCCCCCCTACTGCCAACATCTGGAGAAAAACTCTCTTACGGAGATCCACTATTCTCCTTTGGTTTTCTGCATGCTTTTTAAGCTGTCTCTGAAAAGGTCAGGGCGGCCCAGAGATGGCCCCTCCCACTCCCACTCCCACCCCTGCCCCTCCCTCCGAGCTGTCCCATCTGCCAAATTGTTTGTCAGCTTTTCTCACATTTTCACATCGCATTTTCATCACATTCGTTGTGGGAATTTGTGTTTTTCTTCTGGCTCATTAATTTGCGTCTAATTAGTTTTGATTTTCGTTTGTCAATTGCTTGGAACAAGGACTACTCATCATACCCTCTCACCATTCCCCACACCACCCCTCTAAGCATCGCATCTTGCCACTTTTCCGACTTGACTTTGGCAAAGAACTTGGGCACTTGGGAGATGGGAGATCAAAGAATGCGGCAAATAAATGTTAAATAAATATTAAATAAATACTAGAAGTCAGTGCGGTTGTCCCTGTTCTCTGGGCACTCCTCCACTCTCCTCCCACCCTCCGTGACGGCTGTCGGCCAATGCCAAAAGTGAGAAATTGACTGTCTGTCCGGCATTTAAAGCGATTTTCAATAGGAGATCCCTGCCGCGTCGATGGCTGCGGTCCAAGAATGTTGCAGCCTCCATTCCCCCACTACTCCCACCTCCCCCACTCCCCTTCCCCTCCTTCCGCTATGTGTAGGATCCGTTCGTTGACCAAATTTGGTCATCGCAGAGACAGACGCAGAGGCAGTTGCAAATACAATCAAAATCAACAGCAAGAAAAATTCGTTTCGTTGGCATTCTCCTCGGCCTTTGCTTCTGCTGGGTTTTCCATTGTTGTTTTGTTTTCCTTAATGTTATTTTCCTCGTTTTCAATACCCTCTGCCGAAGGGGAGCATGATGGCTTTCAGAGAGACACAGATCAGAAGCAACGTTCGATCTCAGAGGGTATCCACACGTTCGGCACTCGCTGTTACCCCTTTCCTTCGGTTGTTGTTCTTTTGAAATCTTCAGACATTCAGACATTTTGGCATGCAATAAAAACAAGCCCCAAAACAGAAATGCAGCAGAGGCAGCAGAAGCAGATGCCCCTAAAAAGGGGGTAGAGGAGGAGGAGGAGGAGGAGGGTGGGAGCAAAGTGGCAGCTTGTTGCACGGTGAAGGAGAGCGGGCGGGGAGGCCTGGCATTTTGGCCAAGAGCCAACGCTTTTGTCCGAGGACCAACGTCGAAGGGACTCCCCTGCCTGGCCCCTTACCCCTTCTTCATTACCTTCCACCTCCCGCCGCCCGCTTGGCAGATGCCACCGCTAAATGGATGAAATAATGTATTCATTTCTTCGGGTGGCAATTGCCTGATGGTCAAGCATTTAACACTTTCCCCTAAGAGTCAGAGGGGCATGGAAATGGCAGTGGAAATGGGGGAAATGGCTGTGGAAATGGGAACATTAATGGACTGGTCACTCAATTGGATGATGGGGATGGCAGGCAGGGAGGGACGGATGGCTCTCGTCCAGGGCCAAAAAAAAAAATTCAGCTTTGAACAGATTTTACGAGAGAGCGGCCGGAACCACAGAAACAGCCGGAACCCCAATGAAAACTCAGATGATTTCTTGTTTTTTTTTCATCCAAAGAACATTTATTCGTTTAATTTAATTCGATATCCGCTTCGTTTTCTCTGTTTTGATTTCGATTTCCATTTCGATTTCGAGTTTCGATTTTCCATTTCATTGTTTCAAGATCTAGCTACAAAGTTCGGTACATTTTCGGGGGTTTAGTGGGGGACTTGCTTAGCACTTAGCCTATCGACTGGACTCAATCGATCGTTAACTAACTCTATTATTGTTCGAATGTATATATCATATATCATTATCATGTATGGTATGCATATATCTATGTGTACAGGCATATATATAGACCCTAAAGTGTTCCATTATGTGTTCGATTTCGATTTTCGTTTGCGTAAAACCTTTTTAATTTTCGATTAAATACATTTTGATTTGCTCTTCGATATGATATGGGGCGTTACTATCCTTTGTGTGCTCTGTCTGTTTGTGTGGGGTGTGTGTTTGGAAAATGGAAATGCCTCTTTAAGCGGCAAATTTAAGCCAAAAACTTAGACGTAAACTTGGCCTCAGCTCTCGCTTAGTGCTTGGGAAACATTTGATGAAACTTTAATTTCCATTTGGACACACTGACAGCAATCAGTGGAAGTTGCAACAACCCTTGAAGCCTGCCCCTGCCCCTGCCCCTGCCCCTCCACAGAGCTCGATTTAAGCGCTCCCTCTTTTGGAAGGGGGTCAAGTGTGTGTGTGTACGCCCCTCGAGAGAGAGAGTGCGAGCGGGAGAGAGCCCTGGTCTCAAGTGCCGTGCAACAAGAGGAGGCAAACGCTGGCTCTGGCCCAGGCTCTGCCTCTGCTCTGCCTCTGCCTCAAAGGAAAACAATAAAACACTGCGGCGGCGTGCCAAAGAGAAAAACAACCAAAAAATAGCACAAAATATAACAAAAATATGAAAAGGAAAATAGGAAAAATAAGCAAAAACCTGGCGAAGCACAAGCCAAGAAAAGGCTGCAAGTGCGGGCTGGAAATCAATAAAAAGCCATCTGCCACGCCCCAGTGGCACCCACTCCCCCCGCCCTCTTGGCACTTGGCGATTGTTCGGGCTCATTGCCGCAGGAGCAACCGATAACCAGGCCCAAAACCTCAGAGCCCTCCAAGGATTGGCCCTCAAAAGTAGGCAATGAAAAGTTAAGGCCTCCGCCCAAGACAGGGGTGGGCCGGGGGAGGCAGGACCCACTAGAGGCCTGGCCGATGGCTGATGGCTGATGGCTGGTGTCGCCTCGAACTGATTGACGCCTCCGCCATCCGCCATATATCATCGTTTTCCGGCAGCAGAATGCGAATTAAAATTAAATACTCTGGAAAAATGCTAAAAAAAAAACAAAAATGTTAATGAAAGACAAACAAAAGGGGGAGGGGAAAAGGGGTAAAAAGAGCTGGAAATATGCGGAAAATGATGAAAATTTAATGCGGCTTCATTGGGCGCTTCCTTTGGCTGAATGTTGGCTGCAGTTTTCCTTTAGTAATTTCCCCCGCTTTCATCGCGAGACGAGAGATTGGAGTGGAAATTGTCGCTGCGGTTTATTGTTAGCAACTTTCATTGTGTCTGTGTGTCTGTGTGTCTCTGTGAGAGTATCTGTGTGTCTGTGCGTCTGTGTGTGTGTGTCCCCTGACTACCGTTACTAATTAGCGAGCAACCTAGTTTAACAGTTCTTCAAGGGTCTATCCAAGCCCCCTGAGCGACTCCCGAGGCAGGGCCTCCTCCTGCTGCACCCCCTCCTCCTGCTCATCTTTAAGTGAAACTTTCTCTCAACCGTCGACTTGCCTTTTGCTTATTAAATAGAAACCATGGTGGTCGCTTGACTTTTGACCCCCGCCCCCTCCTCGTTCTCGTTCTTAGACAAATATAATCTCATTCTTGTCCGACTTCTGGGCGGGCGTCGGCTGGCGCTGGAATGCGTAAACGTTGACGATTAACTGCGCCATGAAAATGAAGCAAAATAAAACGATTAGGACTAGATACAGAAAGATATCGCGCAACATTTCTAGCTGTCTCTGGCTCTCTCTCTCTCTCTCTCTCTCTCTCTCTATCTCTACAGCTCTATCTCTAGCGCTCTATGTGGCACAGAAGAGGCCAAAGCTCAAGACTCCAGAAGCAGGCACCAGATGGCATGACTCCGTCTCCTCCCTGTCCTCCTCCTCCTCGGTCTGTGTTGCTTCGGCTGCTTCTTCTGCTGATGGTGTGGCTCGTCTCATTGCCTCATTGCTGGGCCCCAAAAGAGCAGCTGCAATGAAAAGAAAGAGGAAAAGGCGTAAGTGAAAAGCGGATGGAACTACGCGAGGAGATTATTCATAGACATTCCGAAAAAAAGGGGAGAGAGGAGAGGAGAAGCAGAAGGATCCCCAGATGAAGCCTGGACAAAGGATTATCCTTGGCTAGAGGGGAGTGTCTTCCCCTGGCTGCACGCCCCTCCCCTACAGTGGAAAAGTTTCGCGCCTGCTTTGCCCCAAAAGGAAAACACGACAGAGCTGACAGACGGAACGCGTATTACGCATTCGCCACATCAGCCCCCAGCGGGAAGCTGCCAAAGGAAGGGATTTCCATGATTCCCACGACTCCCATGCCCCGCAGATGTTGCACAATTGCATTACGTCGCGCCACATGATGCCTGCTCTTCTGGCTGTCTCCATTGTTGCATATTTGTGCGGCATGTTGCCCAATATGTTGGCCCCACGAATGCAAGAAAGGAATGCCATCCGCAGGACGGGGGAGCGGGTGAGGGTGGTGGCGGGGGTGGGGGAAACGTCATCAGAGAAAGGAAATTAAACAAATGAAATTTAAACAGAGGCAAAACGAGAAGAGATGAGAAGAGAAGAGAGAGCATTAGAGACGATGGCAGCTCCTATTTCCGCATGAGCAGCATGCACCACGCAGCATGCACCAAATGCATTTTCATTTCCACTCAACCAGGTCCTTTGAGGTGACTGTACCCCGTGATACCGCCCCGCACTCCGCACTCCGCAGTCGCCCCTCTTCCGCTTCAGTCCACTTGAAACACTCTCAATTAGTGGGATCCGAGGGCTAAACGGTGTCAAAAGCGGTAGGGTCAAAGGCTAGAGCTGCATTTGCATTCATGGATTTAAATGGGGGAATGGCGAAAGGCAAAATGCAAAATGTAAATGCATAATGCGGAATCCTTAATGAAATCAGACTCTCGGAGGGAGCGCCTTCTGTCCGGCTTTCAATTAAACGCTTATCGCGGGCACAGCAGTCGCTGAATAAGAATTCCATGCCCCACAGGCACGGGCCCTGCCCTCGACCTAGGAGAGGGGCATCCTTCGAATGGAAAACAATTTTCAAAGGCCGCTCCTGCCCGGAATGCGGCTCGCACATCATTAGGCCCTGGTCCGCAGGAGAAGGGGCAGAAGCAGGAGGCAGGAGGCAGGAGGCATGGTGGCGTGGAGGCGCCACCGCCTTGAAAAACAAAGCGAAGAAGCGCATCAAAGATTATGAAACTCATTAAAAAAGTTTCGGGGGCAACAAATCTAAGAGCCAGAGGAATGTGTTCCCCCTGCCCCCCCAGTAGCTCCCCCACCCCTTCACATAACTTAATGCAAAAAAAAAAAAACAGAGAGTCTGGAGGGCAGGGAAGGGGAATCCTGTCCACAGCCAAAGTCCGAGTGGGATTTGTGTCTGTTATTTTTTTGGCTGGGCCTCGTGCCCGAAACTTTTGCTGACCAAAAGAAATCCGAGTGCGAGATATACGAGGAGGAAGGACACAGGCCAATGGAGGCCATAGCAATGCTAAGCGAATGCGAAGGACGCAGGACACTCCTAGGACTTCTTTGATCTGTCACCTATTTCGTGGCTAGAGCCTTAATGGATACAAGGCTGTGATCTGCTACATGATTCATGGACAAGGTATCCTCTGGTGGTAGATCGCTTCTGGTACAATTCTCTTTTAAGCGAACTCTAAATGGAATCCTTGGGAATCCTTCCATGAGCGATAATGACACTAATAATAATAGTAATAATAGCTATGGACTGCTGTATACCCTCTAATAATGTGGGACCCCCCATGGGACCAGAGTCCGCCTGTTGCTTGGCCCCTTAAAACACAGGGAAATGGACTTTCTCTTGCCTTGCTTTCTTTCCTGCGTTCTTTCTCCTTCATAAATTAGATGTCAAAACGCGCACTAAAACAGCCCCAAACACACACACATGTGGATATTTACGCGTATGTGTGAAAAGGGTCAAAGAGCAGTCAGTCGGGCGGCAGGAGTGTAGGAGTTTGAACAGGATTCGTGGGCTGCTGCCGCCGCTGGCAAAAGTTTTTTGGGAAGCAAACCCTCCTTGGCAAACTTATTAAGCGTTCGAAGCCAAACAAATTGCTTGGGCAACAGAAGGGTTAGGCAGAGTGGGGGGAGGGGGAGCTCCGAAAGGGTTTTCCACGAAAACTTGTCAAGGAATTGCGGCCATTAATTTTCAGTGGCGGGGCACACGAAATGCAAATGAAACTTTCGCAACGGAACGGAATGTTGCGACACAGTCGACGGTCGGCAGTCGGCAGGCGGCAGGCGGCTGCTGGGGGCCACAAAAGTCAATGAAGTGTTAAATATCCTGCGGTGTCAGGACACCCACACTGTACACAACGAAAGGTGATGTGTGTGTCCTGTCCGGGCGGACATTATCCTTTATCCTATCGCACAAGCAGGCACACACACGCAACCGAGCACATGTCCAATTTTCTGCGGTATTCCATTTGCATTTCTTCGTGCTTTGTTTTCATAATGCGCTTAACCCTGGGATCCCCTCGGATCAGGAGGCAGGGGGAGTCCTTCCCCATGTAATTAAGGCCCCGCAGCAATGCCAGACAAACTCGCGGCATAAATCACTCCGCCAATCCTCCTCCTGCCGGCAGCTGCCATCCATCTGTCCATCTGGCCATCTGTCCATGTGGCAGCTTCATTCATGAGTCGTCTGGATTCCCATTCATGGACAAATACTCCGCTGGCACGCATTTTTATGAGGCACATCCCCCACCCCCCGGCTTCCCCCTCTTTTGGCCATGTGTGGACCCAAAATGAGAGACACGTTACCAATTTATGCTGAGCCGCTCGTAAACTGGCCAAAAGGCAAACAAAGTTCCACTAACGAGTAAACTCTTTTTTTTCTTCCTCTCCGTTTTTTCAATTCCACACGGCGTATACTTGATGTCCGCCTAAAATTCGCCTTTTGTACGCTTCCTATTCACTTTCGATACGCTTTCGATTCGCGGCTTATTCACTCCGGCTTTCGGTGCCGCGATGCTTTCGGTTCGACGTGGCTAACGCGACTCCTGGCCAGGCTTCGAGGGAAGCCGCTTCTTATAGTCGGCATCCGTGCCGGACTCGGCTCGGAGCCTGCTCGGGAGCCGTCCGTCGGCCTGCCTCGGCTACCAGTTGAGCTTCGTTTTGGGATTTCGGCTTTTGGGCTCTGATTTCGTTACGTCTCGTGCCCGGAAATTGTTGTTCAACAAATGCCAAGCGTTCTCCGTCAACAGGCAGGCCAAAGCGGGTGGCGGGTGGCAGGTTGGGGCTGAGCGATTGCTCCTCTTCCATCCGAATGCTTTGGGTCGAGCAACAATCATTACGAAGTTTACTCAGAACTTTGCTAAATGATGATCTGATTTGAATATAAGTTGGAATTGGTTGGAATTTCCTGTTGATTTTGCATCGATTTTGCAGTAATTGTGGATCGAATACATGGGTTTCCACTGTCGATCTATGGGACTTAGATTCGGGTTTTCTTTGCCGAAGGAACTGACCTTCGGGAGGAGATATCGCGCCGGCATTTCCCCACTTTACTCCGCCATAAAACCCTTTACAGCATATCTTATCGATCTGTCGGAATATTTAATCACCCTCTCTCTCCCCCTCCCCCTTATTTGCATGCTCCTCCCTCCTGCTGCCCCCTGCTAACCAGTGTTTTCCCTTGTGCCTCCACCCCTCTCATGTTTATATTTTGGCCGCATCATAAGGCAAACATTTTAATTTGTTCTAACCAACGGCACGCCCCCGTCCCGCATGACAGAGGAGGCGGACAAATATTGACACTCGACAGAGACCCAGGGGAGGGGGAGGAGGAGGTAGGTTAAAGGGGGTTTGTACTGACCAAAATCAACGTTGACATTGCCTCCCAAAAACACCCCGTACCCCTCCAGAGTCTCCTGTGAGATCCGCCACTGATGACGCCAATCATGTTCTTGGCCTCCCCCCTCGCCCTCCTCGCCCTCGCTCAATCTTATCAAGATGCCATTCCAGAAGGAGGAGTGGGAGAGTGGGAGGTCCTTCCTCCCTGGATGTGCCGTCAGTTGGCGTGACAAGCGAGACTTTCCAGCCGGCGCAAGGAGCGGCGGGGAGTGGGGGCGGAGTAGGCACAGTTTGTTATTATTTAAATCAGGAAGTCGAACGAAATTTCCGCCTCTGCCATGGCCAACAAATTGGCAGCTGACTTCCGGTGCAGCCGAAGCCAAAGCAGGAGCAGAAGCAGACGTGGAGCCTGGCATTCCTACCGCTTTGGGTGCCTGGTGCCTGGTGGCTGGGAGTCGAGTCAATTAAATTTTCCCTTTAAGTGATTTCTGTCGCCATTTCGGATGGTCGCCTTTGGGCCGCCCCACTCTCGTGCCTCCCCTTTAACACGGGAAGAAACATGCTTGAAAATGAAGCTGCAGCACACGTGCCGCGACACTATGATACCCATTAATCGGCTTACAAAGATATCGAAACTTGAAACCCCGTTGCCTTGGCACCAAATCCGTTCAAGGAGCCGTCATATACTTCAAATATTCACAATATTCAATATAATCCTGCTTGAATCCCACTGCCAAACGAATGCATTTAACACAATTAATTCAAATAATTGACTAACTCTGTGATTTTTCGCTTGGTGTTTTAGGGAGTAACATCTAACAATAACAATAACGCTAATAATAATGATAGTGAAAAAGTAAGTGCACAAATCCGAATATTGCAAGCATGGAACAATTCAGACCCCATCTGAATGACAGATACACTTAGAAACCTTTCAAAATTAAACAACTAAGATCAAGTTGTGCCTGGATCACATTTCTTTCAGTGTAAATCCTATTCCAGCGCCTAATTCCTGTTACTTCTCTGCATTTGAAATCCTGTTCCTGCTGGTCCTGGTCCTTCCACCTGTTCCTCTGCTGTTCTCCTTCCATAATGAGAAATCGATGGGTTGTAATTTGTTCAAATCCAATTTGGTAGCAGAACTTAGGGACTCACGGTCTCGGGCCGTATCCTCCATGGACATCCGCACCTGGCCCCAAAACCCCGTCTCCAAGGGGAGGGGAGGCCTACCTTTAATGAGTTTTTATTGCGCTTCAGGTGCTTTGATTGCTGCGATTTTTAACTTGATTTACGGGCATTTAGTGAATGGGAAGCGACCGAGTGAGTGAGTGGAGTGGAGTGTCTGCGGGTGGGGGGGGCAGCAACAACATTTTCCGGCCCACTATTGATTTTTCAATTAAGCTGGACCCTCCCCCCCCCCCTCACATCCCTGCCCCTTACCGACCCCCCCTCTGTCAATGCATTTTGCATGTTTTCGCGTTTTGCCAACATTTGTTTGTAAAACGGAAAAGACGTCTCTTTGTGGTGGAGGAGGAGGAGCGTACCACTGTCTTTTGCGGCAAGTTTTATGCGCGGCATCCTGTGCACAAGGATAAACGGGGGGATAAAGTGGGATGGCGGCAGGGGGTGTGGCAGTAGTGAGGTGTGGGGGCGGTACGTACCGCCTTGTAGCGCAATTTATGCGGTAATTGCTTTTTTAAGCGCTTCGCATTTATCTTTTCGACACAAGTGAAATGAGTTTTCCGACTGCCTTCTGCCTTCTGCAGCCCCCTAACCAGCACCGTGTCCCTCCCCCTATGCGTGCCTTTCGTCGATTTGCGAGCAAACAAGGATATACAAAGGGATATCACAAGGAAAAAGTCGGAAACAACAAAAGCAGAAGCCAAAAACGAAGGAAGAACTCAACTACTTACAATGGCATTTTTATGACGTCTTCTATTTGTCTGCACGTCTGCCCCCGTCCCCACCCCCCACCCCAACCCCTCCAATGACCCAACTCAGTGGCGTGCCCCACCAACACAGAGAAACATGCAACGTTGTTTTCCTCAATTTTTCCGCCCTAATTAATTTAACGCCAAAAAAATGACACAAACAAAAAGTTGATAAAATGGGAATGAAAGTGCTAGACGAGGCGAGGAAAATGGTCCTGTTCTCCACCGACTGGCCCCTTGATTTATGGTGTGCATATTTTAATAATTTTGTAATTTTATGTGGCCATAAAAATTACCCGTATGGAAAATTTGTCATTTCCTCACAGGAGAAAGGGAGCCGCGGAGGTCCTTTATGTGTTTTCTTGGCTTTTCCAGGAACAGAACATTAATTTTATGCTTGAAAATATAATTAATCAGATTTGGTGAGTAATCATTTTTAAATTTCCAGTGAACATAAAACTTACGCGCCCAGCAATAGCAGTGGCTCTCAAAATGCACTCAACTCAAATACCAGCAACATTGATGTGACAACTTTGGGGCTTTGTTTGACTTTCTTGTTTAAACCTAGTTTTATACTCAATAAAATAAATGGGAGTACTTAAAAGTAGTTAAACTTGTAGGAAATTGATTCATCAATCGGACAAAACTATGTGGGCATGGCTAAATGTTCTATCTGGTTAGTAATACTTGACGAAATATCAAAAACGAGTAATCTGTATAGAACAATTTGAATTCGTTAGTATATTTACGGTATATTTTTAAAATAAGACGGTATATTTCGGTGCCATTCTGAGGGTCGCCGCAGTTTCGTTTTTACAACAATGAGTCCCATTCCATACACAAATGTTGCAGCAACATTTACTTGAAAACCGTTTTTCGGTCAAAATAAAATACATAAAGGTAATTAAAAGAAGCAATCTTGTAGAAAATGCATTTATCTATGGGATAAAGCTAAGTGGGCAAATCTATATAGCTTGAAATATAGGCAATACCCGATTCGTCGCAGTTTCGCTTTTGCAACAATGAGTATTCAATTCACAAAGGTTGCAGCAACATTTACTTGAAAACCGTATTTTAGTCAAAATGAGACGGTATATTTTGGTATATTTCTGAGGGTGGTCGGTCACACTGCACCCATAATCTCGGCTTTTTGTGTTCAAGGTATGTTAGGCAAAAGGGTGGATTTTACCTTGCAGGCGTTCCACTTTCTAGTCCGTTTCGTCCACTGTCCATACCCCATTTTCTTCAGAAATTTACCATAGTTTACACTTTGCGAAAACTTCCACTATTCGAACTCATTCCATTCCGCTAACAACAATTTGTTGGGCAATTGCACTGGTTGCATATTGTGTTGTTGATAAACGAAAGAAAACTCCTCCACTCGCGACTCTGTGTGTGATTCTCCTAGAACTTCAACTTCTAGAAACGCAGTCCGCCCCTCTCCAGTGTGTGTCACGCCCAAAAACAAAAACCACAACAACAACAAGCGGTCGTAGGGCAGAATTTTTGTGCGTGTCAAAAAGTGGAAAAAAAAGACTGAAACAGTAACAGATTGTTTCTGTAAAAACGTTAAAAAGTTAACGGTGAACGGTGGAACCTTGGAAACACTCAAACATACAACAACAACAAAGAGAGGCCATGGAGGTTAGTAGTTGATTGAGGAGATCTCTCCTCCCCCCTTTCTCTCTATCGGTCTGTCTTTTCGAGTGCCTACATTGTTTTTTCATTGTGTGATGTGTGTTTTTGTCGTTTTCCTTGAATGATTTCATTTCATTTTTGTTAATTTATTGTGTTTGCCCGAGTTTTTGCCGTCTCTCTCTGTTTCTCTCTCCCTGCTTCCTCCGCCCTCCGTTTCCATTAATGTGTGAGAGCGGGCACCGCACAATTCGGATTACGTCAGTTTTGTTTGCTTCTCTCTCGCTCTTGCTCTCGCGGTCTGGACAAGGCATATTGATTCGAAGGTTAGGCAGTAAGCATTCTGGGTGCCTAACTAGGGAGTTTGTTGGAACTTTCTACAACTGTCTTACCTCATATTCGAGCAACCCTTAATCTGGGCTTGTTTTTGAGTCCTGGAGTTTGCGCCTCTCTGACTCGCTCTCTCCTTCCGCCACTCCCACCCTCCCTCGTCTCGTCCAGAAGGTGCCATGCCGGCGCGTCTTCGTCATTAAGTATTTTTGACATTCAACTTCAACCCTGTGCATCCCCCTCTCTCCCTTCCTGGATCTTTATTGATTCCGGCCATAAACCTCCTAATCATGTTCAT